CACCCTTACAATAAACGAATAACTTTGACAGCTTAAAAATTATGATTATGCCTAGAAAATAATTCCAATTATCCCTTATTGACCCATTTCAAAATCAAAAAAACTGTCTATAAATAATAACAAAAATAATTAAATAAAACGCCTAGAAAAAGACAGACAATTAACTTGAATTTCTTACAATTAACTTTTGCTAAAATGCTGATTCAACAGAAATTTAGCAATTACAAAAAGTATTTACAAAAGTTACAAATTAATGGCAAAGTTTTGTTAGTTTTCTTTTTCTCCATAAAAAAACACAATACCAAAAATTAAGCCATTTAAATCGTTCGAGTATTAATCATACGCAAATTCTTTGTTCAATTATTTAAATAAATTGAAACGTTTGGAAAACAAAAACATAAACAAAAAGTGAAAAGAAGTAAGAGTTTAAGTTGTGGCAACCATCTTGTTTAACGGTATTATAAATCAAAAATGTATTCGTTAAACCATAAAAGATTTATGTGGTGCTAAATATAAAACTTTTATCATCATATCACTTATTTTTTTATTTTTCTTTTTTTGTCAGGAGAACTTTGTTTTTTAGCTGTTTTGATATTTTCAAGTGTTTTTTGGCGGTAGTTTTTTCTTTTACTTTTTTTTTTAAAACCCCGACAGACATACCTTAAACATTTACAACACTAAACAGCAAAACTGTAATAAATGAATGGAGCCTTAAAGGAAATGATTCTTTAGCCAAAAGTCATTTAATTTGGTTTTAGAATAAAATGAACTTTGTTCACTTCTAGTTCTGGTTTAGTTCTAGTTCAGTTCCAGTTTAGTTCTAGTTCAGTTCCAGTTCAGTTCTAGTTCAGTTCCAGTTCAGTTCTAGTTCAGTTCTAGTTCAGTTCTAGTTCAGTTCTAGATCAATTCTAGTTCAGTTCTAGTTCAGTTCTAGTTCAGTTCCAGTTCAGTTCTAGTTCAGTTCTAGTTCAGTTCTAGTTCAGTTCTAGTTCAGTTCTAGTTCAGTTCTAGTTCAGTTCTAGTTCAGTTCTAGTTCAGTTCTAGTTCAGTTCTAGTTCAGTTCTAGTTCAGTTCTAGTTCAGTTCTAGTTCAGTTCTAGTTCAGTTCTAGTTCAGTTCTAGTTCAGTTCTAGTTCAGTTCTAGTTCAGTTCTAGTTCAGTTCTAGTTCAGTTCTAGTTCAGTTCTAGTTCAGTTCTAGTTCAGTTCTAGTTCAGTTCTAGTTCAGTTCTAGTTCAGTTCTAGTTCAGTTCTAGTTCAGTTCTAGTTCAGTTCTAATTCAGTTCTAGTTCAGTTCTAGTTCAGTTCTAGTTCAGTTCTAGTTCAGTTCTAGTTCAGTTCTAGTTCAGTTCTAGTTCAGTTCTAGTTCAGTTCTAGTTCAGTTCTAGTTCAGTTCTAGTTCAGTTCTAGTTCAGTTCTAGTTCAGTTCTAGTTCAGTTCTAGTTCAGTTCTAGTTCAGTTCTAGTTCAGTTCTAGTTCAGTTCTAGTTCAGTTCTAGTTCAGTTCTAGTTCAGTTCTAGTTCAGTTCTAGTTCAGTTCTAGTTCAGTTCTAGTTCAGTTCTAGTTCAGTTCTAGTTCAGTTCTAGTTCAGTTCTAGTTCAGTTCTAGTTCAGTTCTAGTTCAGTTCTAGTTCAGTTCTAGTTCAGTTCTAGTTCAGTTCTAGTTCAGTTCTAGTTCAGTTCTAGTTCAGTTCTAGTTCAGTTCTAGTTCAGTTCTAGTTCAGTTCTAGTTCAGTTCTAGTTCAGTTCTAGTTCAGTTCTAGTTCAGTTCTAGTTCAGTTCTAGTTCAGTTCTAGCTCAGTTCTAGTTCAGTTCTAGTTCAGTTCTAGCTCAGTTCTAGGTTCTAGTTCAGTTCTAGTTCAGTTCTAGCTCAGTTCTAGTTCAGTTCTAGTTCAGTTCTAGCTCAGTTCTAGTTCAGTTCTAGTTCAGTTCTAGTTCAGTTCTAGTTCAGTTCTAGTTCAGTTCTAGTTCAGTTCTAGTTCAGTTCTAGTTCAGTTCTAGTTCAGTTCTAGTTCAGTTCTAGTTCAGTTCTAGTTCAGTTCTAGTTCAGTTCTAGTTCAGTTCTAGTTCAGTTCTAGTTCAGTTCTAGTTCAGTTCTAGTTCAGTTCTAGTTCAGTTCTAGTTCAGTTCTAGTTCAGTTCTAGTTCAGTTCTAGTTCAGTTTAGTTCAGTTCTAGTTCAGTTCTAGTTCAGTTCTAATTTAGTTTTAGTTCAGTTCTAGTTCAGTTCTAGTTCTCTTCTAGTTCTCTTCTAGTTCTCAAAATATCATGAATAATTCTTTAAAACTTCTGTCAATGAATGAATGCATAAATATATTACTTTTGTGAGAAAGAACAACAATTTTAAAAACCTTTTAAGCATATGAAGAAAAACTTGGTATCTCACCCACATAAAATTAAATCCCACTTAACACAAATACCAACCGAACGTTACCATGTATTAAATCTAACCAACCCATCCAACCAACCAAGTTGGTTACTAAATAATAATATTTTTTCGAATGTTGTTTCCAAAAAACACAACTCAAATGTGTGTGTTAATTCTTTTTTTTCTTCAAAATTTTGCACACAACAAAAAGTAATACTCCAAGTCCTAAATAAACATTAAAAAATAATAACAAAAGCGATGTATGCAGACAGAAAAACAATTTGATTTTAATTGAAAAATAGCATAAATATGCGAAATATGCTGAAATAAATAAAAAACGGGAGACAAAAGTAATGAAAACAAAATTTAAATTGTTTCTTGTTTAAATTCAAAATAATTATTTTTTGTTGAGAAAAAAAATATTTATTAATTGTTTAAAAATTCTTCAGCAATATGTCAACAAAATGTTAACAATTAAAAATGAAAAAGTTTATATTTTGTTTAATATAAAATGGGTTTCTCTAAAAATAAAACTTTAAAATCCCTACAGCCATTTCATTATCTTTTATCGTTACCTTCGTAGAAATAAACACTAAAAAATACACTCAGAAATTATAATTAACATTTTATTGAAATGTTGAATGTTGTTAAATTTGACCCTAAATTCCTACTTGTTATATTTTACTAACATTTCACCTGCGAGTGTAGTGTTTTATAAAAGATATTCGAAAAAATCAAGAATAACATTAGCTCAAGTATCCTTTTTACCATCTTTATCCTTTTTAGTTGCTCCTTTTTTTGTTTTTTTTCATTTTTTGTTTTAATGGCAAAAGCATTTGATTGTGGAAAAGAAGAAAAAAGCTGCTTCGGTAAGCACTTGCTAAACAAAAGTTTTTAGTGCTTATTTTTCCTCCTCCCTTCATTTCCACTTTCAGTTTTGTTTATGTTAGCAACACACTTTGTTGTTATTTTTGTTGTTTTTTTTTTCTAATGTTATTCCACGGTATAGTGTTTTCCTAAACTTTTTCTTGAGTACTTTGCCAGTGAAAAATCTATATAAATTTGTTTTGTTTATTGTTTCCTTTTGTTGTTTTTCTTTGCTAATGGTTTTAAGAGGGTTAAACGCAATCGCCAAAAATCTAATTACGTTAATATAAAAATTTGTTTTGATGACCAAAACAAAATTAAGATAGAAATTTGCTGTGGCTCATGCTGCCATTAAAAGGTCGAAAATTAAGTGGAAAGTGTTAAAAATAATTGAAGTTAATTTAGGATTTATTAAAAAAAAATATTTTATATTTATTTTTATAGTTTTCCATAATTTAAATATTTGAAATTACTTTTGCTGGTAAAAGTAATCACATTAATCAATAAAGTAATGGCTGTCAACTGTTTCCGTGGTGTAGTGGTTATCACATCCGCCTAACACGCGGAAGGCCCCCGGTTCGATCCCGGGCGGAAACACACAATAACATTTTTTAGATATTTTCCTCATTTATCTGTTTGATATTTTATTTAACTGAACTAGAGCTAAACTAGAGCTAACTAGAACTGAACGAGACTGAACTAGAACTAGAACTGAACTAGAACTGAACTAGAACTGAACTATAACTGAACTAGAACTGAACTAGAACTGAACTATAACTGAATCTAGAACTGAACTAGAACTGAACTAGAACTGAACTAAAGAACTGAACTAGAACTGAACTAGAACTGAACTAGAACTGACTAGAACTGAACTAGAACTGAACTAGAAACTGAACTAGAACTGAACTAGAACTGAACTAGAACTGAAACTGAACTGAACTGAACTAGAACTGAACTAGAACTGAACTAGAACTGAACTAGAACTGAACTAGAACTGCTAGAACTAACAGAACTGAACTAGAACTGAACTAGAACTGAACTAGAACTGAACTAGAACTGAACTAGAACTGAACTAGAACTGAACTAGAACTGAACTAGAACTGAACTAGAACTGAACTAGAACTGAACTAGAACTGAACTAGAACTGACTAGAACTGAACTAGAACTGAACTAGAACTGAACTAGAACTGAACTAGAACTGAACTAGAACTGAACTAGAACTGAACTAGAACTGAACTAGAACTGAACTAGAACTGAACTAGAACTGAACTAGAACTGAACTAGAACTGAACTAGAACTGAACTAGAACTGAACTAGAACTGAACTAGAACTGAACTAGAACTGAACTAGAACTGAACTAGAACTGAACTAGAACTGACTAGAACTGAACTAGAACTGAACTAGAACTGAACTAGAAATGAACTAGAAATGAACTAGAAATGAACTAGAAATGAACTAGAAACTGAACTAGAACTGAACTAGAACTGAACTAGAACTGAACTAGAACTGAACTAGAACTGAACTAGAACTGAACTAGAACTGAACTAGAACTGAACTAGAACTGAACTAGAACTGAACTAGAACTGAAGAAGAACAGAACTAAGTAGAATAGTAATACAACTTAGAACGAAACTAAATCATTATCATTACAAAGTAAACGTTTTACCCACCCCTTTATAGACAATGTACCTTGACAATACATAACTGGAGTAAATAACAACTAATATTTTAAAAATAATGTTTAGTAAATAAACTATTAAACCATTAAACCATGGACTTTACCTATGTTGAATTTCCATCGACGGTAAATTTCAACACCTTTAAAGCGTATTATGAGCTCCACAAATGCAAACTACCCAACATTCATGGCAGAGCATTAAATCAGACGGAAGGCTTGGAAACAAATACAAATCAAATAAAAACACTAAGACATTTAGTATTGGATACAATACTCGACAATTGGAGTTGTAAGTAGTAAAGAACTTATTTTAATAATACACAAGAAACATAAACCCTTTCTAACCACCATTCACTTGACAGACAATCCCATATTTAAAGAAATAGAACATCAAGAGGATCGTAACTATATTTTAAGTAACTTGAATGTAAATCTTCCTCTAAAGATTTTAAGCTCATACATACAAGATGATTTCTTCTGGCGTAAAAGCTATCAACACCGTTGGAAGACACTTTATTACATGTCGTACACATATCAAACCCAACCACCAACCATATCAACACCCAGTCCCCACGCCTCAGCAACTACAACGAAACCTTTACAACAACAGCAGTGTGCTGTTGTGAAGGAGAAATGTAAAAAAACAAAACCTTGGATTAACATTTACATGGAACGACATCTGCAAGAGTTTATTGAAAATTTAACAACAACTGACTACGACCAGGAGAGAGTGCAGGTGACATTGGACATTTGTGCAATGTATATAAATCAATTGGAGATAAACTACCTTCAGCCCAGCATGGATGGGCAAAATGGTAAGAAAAGCCTGTCAGTTATATTTGTAAATAGAAATACAAACAAACGTATGTTTCTTATTTTTTGTCTTTGTTTCAGATCACATTCCACTTGATTTCATTTTGAGAAATCTACCGGAATTGCATACATTACGTTTGACATATTGTACCAAGACTATAGGCACACACTACTATCTGGGCTGTAATATGTTATCGCGCCGTGATGCTTCACTGCTTGCTCGAGGACTACAGCAGTGTCATGAATTGGTAAATTTTTGGTAAGAAAGAAATGTTATCTTTGTTTTTGTTACTTGTTCTTTGTCTTTGATAAAGTGTGTTTATATGTTTTCTTTTAGTTTACACAATACTAAATTGGAACCCTATCAGTTGGGATTATTTGCTTATAGTTTAGATAAGGGTTGTCATTACCTGTCCGCCTTGTCCTTGGAACACTGCAGTTTGGGTGATGAAGGTATACGTGAGTTTTTAAGCTCTTGTAACAAGGAATCGTTTGGAACATTGAAATATTTAGATTTAACCAATAATAAAATAAGTAAGTACATGAACTGAACTAGAACTGAACTAGAACTGAACTAGACTGAACTAGAACTGAACTAGAACTGAACTAGAACTGAACTAGAACTGAACTAAACTGAACTAGAACTGAACTAAACTAGAACTGAACTAGAACTGAACTAGAACTGAACTAGAACTGAACTAGAACTGAACTAGAACTGAACTAGAACTGAACTAGAACTGAACTAGAACTGAACTAGAACTGAACTAGAACTGAACTAGAACTGAACTAGAACTGAACTAGAACTGAACTAGAACTGAACTAGAACTGAACTAGAACTGAACTAGAACTGAACTAGAACTGAACTAGAACTGAACTAGAACTGAACTAGAACTGAACTAGAACTGAACTAGAACTGAACTAGAACTGAACTAGAACTGAACTAGAACTGAACTAGAACTGAACTAGAACTGAACTAGAACTGAACTAGAACTGAACTAGAACTGAACTAGATCTGAACTAGAACTGAACTAGAACTGAACTAGAACTGAACTAGAACTGAACTAGAACTGAACTAGAACTGAACTAGAACTGAACTAGAACTGAACTAGAACTGAACTAGAACTGAACTAGAACTGAACTAGAACTGAACTAGAACTGAACTAGAACTGAACTAGAACGGAACTAGAACTGAACTAGAACTGAATTAGAACTGAACTAGAACTGAACTAGAACTGAACTAGAACTGAACTAGAACTGAACTGCAACTGAAATAGAAATGAACTGGAACTGAACTAGAATTATTCAGTACTAGAGCTGAATTGAACTAGAAATGAAATAGAACTGAAACTGAACTGAATTAGAACTTAACCGAATACAGATTACTTATTCGAAACCCGGTTATTATTTCCAGCCTCCGAGGGTGCCTATTATCTAAGCAAAGTCCTCAAAAGTTTGTCACTAGAAAAATTGATTCTACGTTTAAATCCCATTGGCAGCGAAGGTGCTGCCTCAATATTTGCAGCTTTGGATGGTTTGCCTTTGACAGATTTGGATATGGCCGGTTGTTCTCTAGACGACACAATTACAAAACTTTTTATGCAATTAATTATACAAAATAAGACTCTATGGTCCATAGACATATCAAATAATTGCTTGGGTCAGGTGAATATTTTAACGATTTTTGTATTATCGTAAAAGAATAATACTTATTAGTGTATGTGTGCTTCTTTCAGGACTTTGGTAAACATTTATTCAAAGTTATTGGCTTTAACAAAACTTTAAAAAGGATGAATTTGAGAAATACTGGCGTATCATTGGATATGTGTAAACAATTTCAGGAGATTTTAAAAGAAAGTCATTTAAAGAAGAAATAGAGTAGAAAAGGATAGATAAATTTTTAATTAATAAACTTTTAAATATATAGAAGTTGCCAGCCATTTTGTTTAAAATTTGATTATGAATTATAAGCGAATAAAACTTAAAATAGTTTAGTATTAAATTCGATTTTCCAAAGAAGATTGAATGGAAGAGTTGGCCTTCAATAATTTTACACTATTACATTATTTGTTATGGTTGTTACTAGACTTAGCTTTGGAAACATTTATTTACCGAAAAGTAAACTTTTTTTAGTATTCGATTTTACAAAGTCTCCCCTGCATATAATACTATACTTTATTACAAATATTTCCTTAAAAACAATATTTCTTTTTTTTTATTAGAAACCACATAAAAACCAAGAAAAATAACAATATGAATAGTCAAATTTTGTTCAATTTTCTTCTTTTTTACTGCAGATGCCATTAAATTGTATATCCTTGTTCAATGTTACGTTAAGTGTCATAAAAATAATTCATAATAAATTGCTTTGCATACAAACATACGCATGCAAAATACATATATATTTTCGAATACAAAACATAGATACAAGGATACGAAAAAAAACGTTCCCTCTTAGCCACCACAGTTAGAAGAAGACGCTGGCAAGAAAAGGCAATCAAAAAAAGGAAAATATACTGTTTATAAGGTGTATAATTTGGCCATAATAATGCTTGTCATGAAAATTCGGTATCGTTATTAATTTTATTTTCAAATAATTTTCTTAAGCTTAAAATAGCAAACCACACCTCCACCCTCTTCTTGATAAATATACAAGTAGTTTTTCTTTATGTAAATTTTCTTATTTAACAACTATATAGACATTTTTAACCACAATTCTTAAGAAAATTATTTATTTATTTATTTTGAGTGAGAAAACACAACAACAAGAAACAACTTAATCATGCCATTTCAACAAAGTCATGTCAGCTGCCATAATCTCAACTTAATCCGAGATAAATTTGCCAATTTCAGAAACCACAATCTTATGAATACCACGCTGAATACACCTTAACTTTATTGTGTGTATTTTTTATAATCTGCCTGAATAGATGTTGCTCTTGACTGCTTTCCATAGACACCACTTTTCTTATAGTTTAGCTACTTACTTTTTCAAAGTTAAAGACAAATTGTTGGTAAGTAGTGGAAAGGTAAAGAAAACAAATTTGTATTATTTTTTTTTCTTGTGTGGAAAAGTCAATATTTTGTATTATTAATGAAAATGTAAAAACAACTACATATTTGAGGAATTTTTTAATACAACTACTTTAAAAATCCGTTTTTAGAGCGGGAATGAAAATAAGAGGAGTTTAAACTAACAGTAACGAAATCCAGCGATTAGTCTAGTCTATGGTCTAGTCTAGTATATAGTCTAGTCATAGTCTAGTCTAGTCTTCTAGTCTATAGTCTAGTCTATAGTCTAGTCTATAGTCTAGTCTATAGTCTAGTCTATAGTCTAGTCTATAGTCTAGTCTATAGTCTAGTCCTATAGTCTAGTCTATAGTCTAGTCTATAGTAGTCATAGTCTAGTCTAAGTCTAGTCTTAGTCTAGTCTATAGTCTAGTCTATAGTCTAGTCTATAGTCTAGTCTATAGTCTAGTATATAGTCTAGTGCCTATAGTCTAGTCTATAGTCTAGTCTATAGTCTAGTCTATAGTCTCGTCTATAGTCTAGGCTATAGTCTAGTCTATAGTCTAGTCTATAGTCTAGTCTATAGTCTAGTCTATAGTCTAGTCCTATAGTCTAGTCTATAGTCTAGTCTATAGTCCTAGTCTATAGTCTAGTCTATAGTCTAGTCTATAGTCTAGTCTATCTATCTATAGTCTAGTCTATAGTCTAGTCTATAGTCTAGTCTATAGTCTAGTCTATAGTCTAGTCTATAGTCTAGTCTATAGTCTAGTCTATAGTCTAGTCTATAGTCTAGTCTATAGTCTAGTCTATAGTCTAGTCTATAGTCTAGTCTATAGTCTAGTCTATAGTCTAGTCTATAGTCTAGTCTATAGTCTAGTCTATAGTCTAGTCTATAGTCTAGTCTATAGTCTAGTCTATAGTCTAGTCTATAGTCTAGTCTATAGTCTAGTCTATAGTCTAGTCTATAGTCTAGTCTATAGTCTAGTCTATAGTCTAGTCTATAGTCTAGTCTATAGTCTAGTCTATAGTCTAGTCTATAGTCTAGTCTATAGTCTAGTCTATAGTCTAGTCTATAGTCTAGTCTATAGTCTAGTCTATAGTCTAGTCTATAGTCTAGTCTATAGTCTTGTCTATAGTCTAGTCTATAGTCTAGTCTATAGTCTAGTCTATAGTCTAGTCTATAGTCTAGTCTATAGTCTAGTCTATAGTCTAGTCTATAGTCTAGTCTATAGTCTAGTCTATAGTCTAGTCTATGTCTAGTCTAAAGTCTGTCTATAGTCTAGTCTATGTCTAGTCTATAGTCTAGTCTATAGTCTAGTCATAGTCTAGTCTATATCTAGTCTATATCGAGTCTATAGTCTAGTCTATAGTCTAGTCTATAGTCTAGTCTATAGTCTAGTCTATAGTCTATCTATAGTCTAGTCTATAGTCTAGTCTATAGTCTATCTATAGTCTAGTCTATAGTCTAGTCTATGTCTAGTCTATAGTCTAGTCTATAGTCTAGTCTATAGTCTAGTCTATAGTCTAGTCTATAGTCTATCTATAGTCTAGTCTATAGTCTAGTCTATAGTCTAGTCTATAGTCTAGTCTATAGTCTAGTCTATAGTCTAGTCTATAGTCTAGTCTATAGTCTAGTCTATAGTCTAGTCTATAGTCTAGTCTATAGTCTAGTCTATAGTCTAGTCTATAGTCTAGTCTATAGTCTAGTCTATAGTCTAGTCTATAGTCCTATAGTCTAGTCTATAGTCTAGTCTATAGTCTAGTCTATAGTCTAGTCTATAGTCTAGTCTATAGTCTAGTCTATAGTCTAGTCTATAGTCTAGTCTATAGTCTAGTCTATAGTCTAGTCTATAGTCTAGTCTATAGTCTAGTCTATAGTCTAGTCTATAGTCTAGTCTATAGTCTAGTCTATAGTCTAGTCTATAGTCTAGTCTATAGTCTAGTCTATAGTCTAGTCTATAGTCTAGTCTATAGTCTAGTCTTAGTCTAGTCTATAGTCTAGTCTATAGTCTAGTCTATAGTCTAGTCTATAGTCTAGTCTATAGTCTAGTCTATAGTCTAGTCTATAGTCTAGTCTATAGTCTAGTCTATAGTCTAGTCTATAGTCTAGTCTATAGTCTAGTCTATAGTCTAGTCTATAGTCTAGTCTATAGTCTAGTCTATAGTCTAGTCTATAGTCTAGTCTATAGTCTAGTCTATAGTCTAGTCTATAGTCTAGTCTATAGTCTAGTCTATAGTCTAGTCTATAGTCTAGTCTATAGTCTAGTCTATAGTCTAGTCTATAGTCTAGTCTATAGTCTAGTCTATAGTCTAGTCTATAGTCTAGTCTATAGTCTAGTCTATAGTCTAGTCTATAGTCTAGTCTATAGTCTAGTCTATAGTCTAGTCTATAGTCTAGTCTATAGTCTAGTCTATAGTCTAGTCTATAGTCTAGTCTATAGTCTAGTCATAGTCTAGTCTATAGTCTAGTCTATAGTCTAGTCTATAGTCTAGTCTATAGTCTAGTCTAGTCTATCTAGTCTATAGTCTAGTCTATAGTCTAGTCTATAGTCTAGTCTATAGTCTAGTCTATAGTCTAGTATATAGTCTAGTCTATAGTCTAGTCTATAGTCTAGTCTATAGTCTAGTCTATAGTCTAGTCTATAGTCTAGTCTATAGTCTAGTCTAGTCTAGTCTATAGTCTAGTCTATAGTCTAGTCTATAGTCTATAGTCTAGTCTATAGTCTATAGTCTAGTCTATAGTCTAGTCTATAGTCTAGTCTATAGTCTAGTCTATAGTCTAGTCTATAGTCTAGTCTATAGTCTAGTCTATAGTCTAGTCTATAGTCTAGTCTATAGTCTAGTCTATAGTCTAGTCTAGTCTATAGTCTAGTCTATAGTCTAGTCTATAGTCTAGTCTATAGTCTAGTCTATAGTCTAGTCTATAGTCTAGTCTATAGTCTAGTCTATAGTCTAGTCTATAGTCTAGTCTATAGTCTAGTCTATAGTCTAGTCTATAGTCTAGTCTATAGTCTAGTCTATAGTCTAGTCTATAGTCTAGTCTATAGTCTAGTCTATAGTCTAGTCTATAGTCTAGTCTATAGTCTAGCCTATAGTCTAGTCTATAGTCTAGTCTATAGTCTAGTCTATAGTCTAGTCTATAGTCTAGTCTATAGTCTAGTCTATAGCCTTTAACACTGCAGGGTTTTTAAAAACCCAAGTCTCCATTTATTCCCCCTAAAGTGTTTACCAAATCCAGGTAAACTGCATCGCCTTTTGGCAATAATATTCACAAAACATAAGATATACTCAAAGAAAATTTAAATATTTTTTATATTAGCAAACATTTAAAAGAGCTACCAACTCAAAGATTAAATCTTCAAAAGATTCAATTGAAGTAGTAGTCTTTTTTTATTAATGTAATCTTTTATGTAAATTTCTTCCCAAAAGATAATCACAGCTTTGTGTCAAGTAATTTTTTGGTCATAATCATTTGGTAATAAAAATAACCTCCCTCCCAAGCTCCAATCATTTAACACAACAACATTATCATTACAGCAACATTACACTTTTATGATATTTATAAAAACGCTTCTATTCTTTAAACATTTTATTACATTGTAAATTGCTTTAAAATGTTAATTTGTTAAAACTTTTTCTTTAAGCACTGTATGCCACAGATCATATGATAATGTCAAAGAGGCCACAAAATTATGCTGGCCCACTAAAGGACCTCTTATATAGAACGTCACATTGGTGGAGAGATCAAGATTAAATGAGTCATTTTTACTTTTCCATAAATTCGTTTTACAGATCAAGTCTAAAGTGGTGGTATGGAATAAAGGAGTATAAGTAACACCCACTGCCAGCATGTTGCCCTCTTGGGGAAAACTCCAACATATGTTGCCACCAAAACGGGAAAATTTAAAAAAATTATAAATATTTGTAATGTTGTGAAAGAAATTCATATCCAGTGCCCATAATTCCTGCTTAAATAGGCGTAAACGTAGACTGCCCTGCAGATTATCAGCCTCCCTTGATATGGTGGTATAGGTAATATTGACAGCGTTTCCTACGCTATATAATGGTGCATGTTTTAAACGTTTGAAATTGTCAGGTTTAGTTAAACTTACACATTTGTTTCGGTAAAAAATCCTTGCACCAGAGGTCCTTCATCAAGATTTATATGAGCAAATAGTCCCGCTAATGTTTGTATTTGTTCGTTTCCTACTTTTTGAGCTCCATACAAATTTATGTTATTGATTCCCCAAGTATTTGTTGAGAAACTAATGCCCATAGATGACACAAATTTTAAAATTTTTTTTAGGAATTTTAATAAAGAAATTTGTTTTGTTTTTAAAATACATTGTAAAAAAATTTGTTTTTTAAATGTTAAGTTTTTAAGATATACATACGTATTGTTGTTATCTTTAAAACTATAAAAGTAACAGACAGACAGATAGATAGGTTGTTTAAAAGATGTAGTTATTAATAGATAATGTCGAGCATACAGAACCTACGAAACTGCTACAGCAGTGCGTAAGATCGAGCACCGAGGCGCCGTGGCTTAGTTGGTTAAAGCGCCTTTCTAGTAAACAGGAGATCGTGAGTTCGAATCTCGCCGGGGCCTTTCTTCAGTTGGTTGTGGCTGAAGGTTTACTTTTTTTATAAAAAATATACATATGAATTTATTAATAATATTTTGAAATACGATTAGAATGTTCTGAAATATAGTTATAATAAAAAATTTAAGAAATTTTTTATCTTTTACAAAAAATCGGGCCTCATTTAGAAATTTATATGTTGTAACCAGGGTCAATAATATAATCATAGCAAATGTAGGGTATTAAATGATGGGCTTCGCCCGACTATACTTTCTTACTAGTTTAATAAATAAATAAAATTAATAAAAAAATACAAAAATCACTTTTAGAAATTTGATATTATCGCCATTCGAATGTAGAATTTCATTGTTTACTTATTATACATTTTTTAGTTCCCTTTTGTTTTTCCATATCCTTCCTAAAACTGTCAAATTTCAACAACTGTCAATTTTTGAACAATAACTAAAAATAAAAGCTAACTAAAATCTATATTCCTGTACTACTATTTTTTAAAAACAAACATTGAAAAAATCCTACAAAATCCACAAAAATATGAAATGAAAAAAACCCATATTCCTTTGTCATCATATTGGTTAAAAAATGTTTTATTACTCCCCCAAATTTTTTGGTATAAATGAGTGTTATGCAAGTAGTCGTCCAATTTGGATAGACATATCAAACGATAACAAGTTCAATACAAACCGTTACCTACAAAACCTGCACATCCACCTGTTGTATGTCATCGAGAATAATGGTGGAGGGAAGTTGACAACAACATGATGCAAATGGCTATCTGATATATAAAGATGGTAGGAGGAATAGATTGGATATCTAGAGTGTTGGGATTCGAGTTGTTTTATTTTTTTGAAATGTTATTGAGGACATGCGGTTATGTAAACTTATGGAGACATTTATCCAGCAAATTAACAAATGAATTTACGATGCCTACAAAATATCGGATGAGTAAACAAAATCGGCCAAAAAAAAAGGAATTGAAATGTGTTTTTGTGAGAAGGATTCAGCTTTAATTTTGTAATATTTTTATGAAGTGTTTGCATTTGTATGTTCAATGGAAATTGCTTTATTAATTGTGTCAATATGTTTTTTGCATAAAGGGGGTTTTATACCCTACACCTTTATAGTGGAGAGGTTATATTGGGTTTGTACAGATCTTTGTAATGCATAGAAACATTTCTACTACATAAAGTATAGAAATCGACTTCCGGAATCAATTTCTTCGTTAAGCAATGTCTATCCGTCCATCCATGTAAACGTTGTTATAAAAGTTTAGATCATATGGTCGACAATTAGAGTATCATATGGTCGACAATGCCCGAATCACATTTCTTCTTTAAGCAGAAAATTTCAATAAGATTTCTATTATATACCCAAATCGGATCGTAGAGCTTAGTAGTACTAATTGATATAATCTAATCGAATCTGTGTAAGTCTGGAACAATATTATATACTCTTACCGTTACTAGAATAGTGACTCAATTTAAGAACCTCTGCTTAATAATATCCACATTATTTGTATTTGTATTTATAATTTTGTTTATCTTAATATTTTCTACTTAAACGCTTCGTAGTCAATGAATTCGCCAAATAAAATCAGTTGTAATGTTTGTAATGTTCATTCATAGCAATTGAATTGTTAAAATATATATTATAATATTTACACACACTGCAACGACAATCTACATAATGTGGAAGACAGACTGAGGACACAATTTTATATATTTAATTTCAACTGACCAGCAGGAAGTTAAATGGTTTGATACCTAGTAGAAAAGGGAGAGAGAAAACAGATTTTATGTTTTGCGATAGAGTAAAGATAAAATTGGCTGACGTTGCTAACAATAAAAATCCAAAAATGCTAAAAGAACAAACAATAAGGCGTAAACCATTAAAGGTCCTTTTACAAGCTAGTATTGCAAAACATCTATTTTATTGTGGTATTGTGCGTCTTGACCATTAACAATAGTAGTTGTTGTAGTAGTAGTTTGCTAGTCAGCTTATATTTTGTGGTAATTTTATTTGTTTGTTATAATGTTATAAATAAACTATAGAAGTTTTAGATTAAAACTAACAACTATATACCACATTAAATACTATGTATATAATGCATTACAGACGTTTACAATGTCATCATTTTACAAATGGTTTCTATTGTTCCTGGTGTTTTTTTTTTTCTACTTTTTTGTGGATAAAAAATTGTAAAGCAATTGTCAACAATATCCGTTTTCCTTTTAATATCCCTAAAACTAAACTAAAATTTTAAACAAAAGTTTAACATCAATATTTTTATGCATTAAAAAAAGGAAATCTCAGCATGTGGGCGTTTTAAGAATATATTTCAATAAATTATGTTGTGTTTTTAATTTAAAAGGTGGATTTCTAGCTGAATTTAAAATGGGAGAAAAAGGAATAAAAGGTTCCGTTGTCTGAACAATGACGAAAGTTTGACTATATTTTTAACTTCCGATTGAGTTTAGTGTAGACTGTAGCTTTGACAATAGTTTGACAATAGTTTGTCTATGGTTGATCTTATGATCTATCAATCAATCAATCAATCAATCATCAATCAATCAATCAATCAATCAATCAATCAATCAATCAATCAATCAATCAATCAATCAATCAATCAATCAATCAATCAATCAATCAATCAATCAATCAATCAATCAATCAATCAATCAATCAATCAATCAATCAATCAATCAATCAATCAATCAATCAATCAATCAATCAATCAATCAATCAATCAATCAATCAATCATCAATCAATCAATCAATCATCAATCAATCAATCAATCAATCAATCAATCAATCAATCAATCAATCAATCAATCAATCAATCAATCAATCAATCAATCAATCAATCAATCAATCAATCAATCAATCAATCAATCAATCAATCAATCAATCAATCATATCAATCAATCAATCAATCTATCTATCTATCTATCTATCTATCTATCTATCTATCTATCTATCTATCTATCTATCTATCTATCTATCTATCTATCTATCTATCTATCTATCTATCTATCTATCTATCTATCTATCTATCTATCTATCTATCTATCTATCTATCTATCTATCTATCTATCTATCTATCTATCTATCTATCTATCTATCTATCTATCTATCTATCTATCTATCTATCTATCTATCTATCTATCTATCTATCTATCTATCTATCTATCTATCTATCTATCTATCTATCTATCTATCTATCTATCTATCTATCTATCTATCTATCTATCTATCTATCTATCTATCTATCTATCTATCTATCTATCTATCTATCTATCTATCTATCTATCTATCTATCTATCTATCTATCTATCTATCTATCTATCTATCTATCTATCTATCTATCTATCTATCTATCTATCTATCTATCTATCTATCTATCTATCTATCTATCTATCTATCTATCTATCTATCTATCTATCTATCTATCTATCTATCTATCTATCTATCTATCTATCTATCTATCTATCTATCTATCTATCTATCTATCTATCTATCTATCCATCCACTTCCGCCTAATTAATAAAAAAGTCCTTAATAAAATCGTAAAAAATTTAATTAAACAACAAATTCTACAAAATTAATTTCTTCTAAAAGTAAATCATATGCAAAACACGTTTATTTTTTTAAGAATGAATGTTGCCAAATTTATGAAGTTTATAATATTTTTTCTCCATTTCATTTAACTGTAATATATCAGGATTTCTAAAAATTCCAAAATATTTTATATCTCAGGATACAAACACATTTCCATACATTACCTATTATTATTATCATCTTGACATTTTTCGTACGTTTTTCTTTTTTTAAATAATTGTGTGTAACGAAATAAATAAAAAAAAAGTTAAAAAATAAACGTGCAAAAATTTATTGGCACGTTCACTAAACACTAACACTAAAATATATGTATAAAAAGGTACGAAATAAAATAAAGAATAAATAAAGCATCCTGTTAGTTGTTTTTTTGTCTGATTTTTGTCACCTATGGCAGCAGACCCTTAAAACAACCATAAATTCATACAGTAGGAAATAAAATTTTGAGTTGAAGTACGTTTCGTCCTCACACTCCTTTTCAAAGTAAATAAATGAAAGGCAATTTAGCGTGTAAAATTAACTGTGGGTTACAAAATAAAAACACAATTTGGAGATGCGGGGCATCGATCCCCGTACCTCTCACATGCTAAGCGAGCGCTCTACCATCTGAGCTACATCCCCTCACAACTATACCGTTCCAAATATATGAACGTAAATTACAGGTAGAAATTTTGAATCACAAATCTAGTCGTAATTTTGTATGGCTAATTTGAGAAGCACCTATTGGACGGCTCAATGGTCTAGGGGTATGATTCTCGCTTTGGGTGCGAGAGGTCCCGGGTTCAAATCCCGGTTGAGCCCTTTACTTTTGCTAGAGTATATGGGCATCAGTTCAACAACCTTTGAACTTGACATATGAGGTAAACTGTCACGAACTATAGTAATCAACCCTTTTTAAGCCTTTTAACAATTCGATATCATATTATGTTTAGGTTTTAATAGGTTTTCACCGGTTGGCTCAATGGTCTAGGGGTATGATTCTCGCTTTGGGTGCGAGAGGTCCCGGGTTCAAATCCCGGTTGAGCCCGTTGTATTTTTAGAAATACAACACATAAATTTG